CTTTTCTAATGTATAACTTAGCAACTTAGGGATCTAAACAAGTCTCATATGACTCAAGGATAATCCCCAAACACTCCACTTTGTCTTCAACCTTCCAAATCAAAATCTCACCCTCCAAAACCCAAAAATACACCAAAATTCTTCAAATCGTAACTTATTATCTATCATCCATTTCTAGACCAATTCTCTGCTAATTTACCACCTAAAAAAGTCTCAAATAGTCATACAACAGTTTTAAATCACAACATCTCCATTTAGACCATTATTTGTAAAACTAACCTATTAAAACCCTCATTTTAGACCAAAATTGACCTGTAATCCATCCTAATCCTTCCTTCTCAACATTTCAACAAAATTTGGCATCACCAACATTCAAAACCACGGAAATTCATAACCAAAATCAAGTCCAAACATAATCATCACAGTCCATAAACATCATTCACAACATTAAGCATCAAAAGCTAGTTACAAGTTCAATAACAATTTATACTAAAGCAGTTATTCCCCTTTCAACCAAGTCAACATAATCTACTACCAATCATAAATCATACATATCAAAGTAAAATTAAATCAAAGAAATGTCATTAGCTTCTCTTACCTTCACATAAACGCTACCAAACTCTAAACACGCACAATCCTTGTGTTACCAATAAGGAGTATTGGTAAATCTTGAAGAAATTTGTTTTGATGATGCTACAAGAAGTTTTAGTTGAAGAAGATATTAGAATTAGTTAAAAGCAAGTTGTAGAAATTAAATGTAGTAGGAAATTCTTGTAAACCTTGTAAAACTTGCATTTTTAACCTGCAATAATCGATTATGATTAAGCAATAATCGATTATCACAAGTCATACTTGAATAATCGATTATCACTTCATATAATCGATTATCACATCTTTGAAAACCTGTAACGGACTTGAATAATCGATTATCACTTACAATAATCGATTATTCATGGCAGTTGGGAGCTGTCCTTTGGCATTCAGTGTACTTGGCTATATATTTTGATTTGGAGAAATCAGGAGGGAACGTTGTTGAACAGAAGCTCTTGCAGAATACTGTTTGTCAGAGGAAGTTCTCAGAAGCTATAGTTCAAGTTCCCTTGCTTGGTCTCGTGAACAGGAGAGGCTCGCGTGTCGTGTGTCGATAGTCGGAGCAAGCTCTCTTCGAGTTAGCAAGGTGCTCTGCCTGGTCTCGTGAATAGGAGAAGCTCGTGTTTCGTTTGTCGATAGTCGGAGCGGTTCTCTTCGAGTTGGCAGAGTGTTCTTCTTCCGGTTCGTTCGTCGAAGGAAGGTTTATTTATCTGCTTTATTCACTATTTCTTGTAATCTGTTAAATAACTTTTTAGTGAAAAAGGTTAATCACTATTTATAGTGATTAACGACTGGACGTAGATTCTTTTGAATCGAACCAGGATAAAAATTGCTTGTGTGATTTTCTATTCCCTACACTCTTTATCTTTTACGCATATCAACTGTTTGATAAATTTTCTCTAAGAAAATTGTTTTTCTAAAACGGACCATTAAACTTGATTTGTGACCGTAACACGCTTTCCGAATATTTTATTCCGCTGCGCGACTCTATAACGGTACCGATTGTTCCAACACCTTGCTTCAAGCTCAAGGAACTCTAGAAACACCTACAAACCATTGAATTGTTATCAAAGTGAGTCCTTAGAACCTTAGATTCATAAAGAACTAAAAAAGAAGCTCAATTGAAACATACGAAAGATTCTTGCACATGGTCTTAACCGAAGAATTAAAGGAAAAATGGATAAGAACTTACTTGCTCTAGAAGGAAATTGATCGAATAATGATGAAGATTACACTGCTATGATCTCCTAAACACTTCCTGATCGTCAAACAGATAATCTAGGAGTTAGAAATTGTAAAGAGAAGGAAAAGAGAACTCAAATAAAGAGTTCTAAAGAGATGATGAATGTTTTAGATAATGAGACATGTTTATGAAATTCTATTTATATTATTGACTTATTTTAACTTTAAAATACTCGGTCTCATTATTTTAAAATACTTATCAACTCTAATACTCTATTTTGCATGTTCTTAGAGAAGGAGAGTTTAATTAGATTGAGAACTAAATTCATAAAATAACTTAATTTAATGTATAATCATAATGATTTGATTTATTTCACATATATTTTAGCAAATTTATCATATATTCCATTTTAATATTATAAATTGAATTAAATTATGATTAAAATCCGTGCTTAATAATAACTCCTGGTAATACTAATGAACAAAATTTATGAAATGGAACCTGATAAATCTGCAGGGATAATAAAAAATATATCTACACTTAAACTTATACTTAAATGGAGTAGCAAAACTAATACTAAGATACAACTTAAAAAGGTAGCGTGATTAAACATCTTGAAAAAAAAAAAAGAAATTTAAATGATAATTTGACCATGACAATGACTATTTTTTTTAATTATAAATTAATTATTTAAAAATAATTCTTTAAAATATAAACTTGTATTAAAGGAATTAATTTTAAAGTATTAAAACTACACGTAAATAAATTTAAATTTTCAAAAAGACAAATTTGAATATATTGTGTCACACGGTATAAGTTTAAAAAGTAAGTGATTTTTTAAAAACACATTTAATTTCTAAATAAAAAATATAAACATTTGAAATTAAATTATAAATAATTATTTAAAATTTAATATTTATCATACAATTAGCTTTACTTTAATTATTTAAATTTTTTACTATTTAAATAAAATTATAAGCAACAATTATTAGGTGATAGTTCATATATACAAATCGAATATATCACAGTATCTGTATTTACTTCATCAATAAATAAATAATTAAAATATCACATCCATTACTTAATTATGTATATCTATTAAAAAATATTCCTTATTAATTGTTAATTTATTTATAAAGAGCATGCATTCTTTTTTCTAGACTAATTAGTATAATTAATTAAACTTTTTTATGTTTCTTCTCGATGAGAATTTAGAATTTTTTACGTGGTCATCAAATTAAAGTGAGACATCATCACTTTGTATAAAAGTGACGCATTTCAACGTCACTTTTTATTTTCTTTAGTTTAACTTTCATTAATCTATTTTCTATAAAATAATGTATTGCATAAGTTTGTTTCATCAACTTAATTTCGCATTCATGAAGCTTTCAATATTTCACAAAAGGGTCTTTAGATTGACTAATTAAATCTCTATCAAATGTTAAATAGTGACAAAACAAATTAGTTACTAAACATACAATTTAACTTTTAAATCTCTAAACAAAAATGGATAGTTAATAAAATCGCAATCACTAACAAAGATAGTGACCAATTTAATGGTTAGTCATCAATTTCGTAATTTAGCAACTAAAAGATTAAATGATTGGAAAGTAAAAATTAGTCTTATAAGAGGTTCTAGAAATCATTTTTAATAACTAAATTTGTAACAAAGAAAGTTACGATAATTTAATTAGCAATATCTAATTTGAGTGAGAGACCTCTTTCAGCAACCCAAAATGTAAAAGTCCATAAACTTTTCAAAAGAAAACATCACCTACACACACCTCACATTATCACTAACAAAACAACACTCAAATTAATTGTTTCTACTTCTTCTAAAACCCTCTAAATCCCCACTTTCCCTTTATATCATATGTGGATGAAGCTTTTCATTCTACTCTAATAAAATAAAGAAACAATTCTTTTTATGCAAAAATCTTTTCCAAGTAAAGTTTAAGATTTGTATTAGATATTATAAACACTGTAAATTAGAATTTAAAAAACATATATACGTGTGTATATATATACACACACACATATATATATATATATATATATATATATATATATATATATGGGTCATTTAATAAGAAACAAAAATATTGTATTTGCGTTATCTTTTCATTTTTAAGGACATAGTTCATATAGCTAATACAAATCTCCAAATGTTTTTAATCATCGAGTAATATAAACTGATACTAGAGGCAATTACACAGTCAGAAAATGTTCATCGACCATTTATAAAATACTTAGAAATAATCTATTACCAATGTTTTTATTTTAATGAGAAAAACATGCATGTCCTTATAAAAAATGTAAGCAGAAGCTTTGCCTATTAAATCAATGTTGTGATAATTGATGATACCCACAGATATTTTAGCAATGTAGGTGTTTGTGTGATAAACCATGCGGGTTTCTAAAAGTGCTTTATTTGGATGTTGGGGGCCTTAATTACACTTTAATTGCCGTTGAACACATGAATTAGCGAATTGATTAGTTTTAATCGCTGTTGTTTTGGAAAGGATTTGATTTCACAGTGAGTTCCTTGACATGTAAGGTATTTTGAAGCATGGTATTTAATTGGAAGGCAAAGGTAAAAAATTGAAGCCATAAGATTCTGGGGTAGGTTAAAAATTCATCATACTTAGCAATAAAAAAGAATGGGAGTGAATGATGAGTATAAATTTGAAGAGTTAGGAAATGAATGAAATAGCAGCATTAATGAGTGTGCAGAAGAAATGAAAATTCATTGTTCTAATTTGGGAATTTATTAAATGAAAAAAGAAGAAAAAGAAAAGGGGAAAGTAAATGTACTTTGGTAGAGTAATTAAGAAGGAGGACAAGTGGCAAGTGAAAATAGAGAAATGACAGGGAATGAGAGTGATTATCACTTCCTCCCAAGAGAGAGTGGGTGACATTTGCCACATCAAAACACACCAAATTAAATTAAATTAATATGCCATATTTGCTAAAATAAATGTCAAATAATTAAATTTAATGGTGGTGACTATGATTATCATTATTATAAAAACAGTGGCAATTAAATTGGTAGAAAAAGTGGTAAAATAAAAGGAAGGCAGAACAAAACCTGTCTCGTGAAGCAGCAGGTGAAGGAGGAGGAAAAGAAAAATAAAAGTTGAATCTTTTTCTTCTCCATTCTTCTTCTTCTGGCTAGAAAAAAAAAAAAAAAAAGGAGTAAAAAGCTTTAATTGATTTGATTTGATTTACCCTAACACACTCTCTCTCTCTCAGAATTCCACCACCAACAACACTCCACTCAGAAACAACTCACTCACATTCATTCTTTGCTTGCTCCTTTTATATCACGAGATCCCCATCCCTTTCTTTCTTTCTTCTCCTCTCTCTCTCCTCTCTCTCTCTCTTTCGCTCATGTCTTCTCCTCCAGAACTTCCCAATTATCGCTCTTCCACGACCACTGTCACCACCACTCATTGCTAACACTAAACCCCCAGAGAGAGGAGAGGCTTCTTCTTTCTTCTTTCTTCTTTCTTCTTTCTTCTTTCTTCTTCTTCTTCTTCTTCCTTTTCATCCCAAGCTTCAATTTTGAGCCCACCCTTTTGCTCCCGAACGATGTCGCATTCCTCCGGCTTGGACGACTTCGCGGATCGATTCCGCCATGCGCTCAGCTGCAACAACGATGCCGGCAACATTAACAAGCCTGACTTCCGAGAACTCGATCTGGGCTCCCCGGTGTCGCCATTGCGCACCACGCGCGCCCCCGCGGCGAGTACCAGCTCAAGCTCGTCTGGGTCCTTCTCGGGTCGAACAGGGACCAACCAGATTCCCCGAAAGCCTGATTCTTCGCTCACCAATAGTAACACTAACAACACCAGTAGTAGCAACCACAACAACAACAACTCCGGCGAGCTTTCTGGTTCGAGTGAGAACAGTCCCACCGCCCGTGGTTTCAAACCGGGTCATACGAGATCCGACTCTGGATCCACGCCAGCGCCGCTGATATACTCCGGCCAGACTGCTACTTCGCCTGCGTTGAATGTTCTCCCCACTGGGAACATCTGCCCCTCCGGGAAGATCTTGAAGACTGGGATGGGGATGGTGGCGAATCGGAGTAGTAGAAGCGATGTTTTGGGGTCCGGCATGGGGAACTACGGCCACGGGAGCATAATGCGCGGCGGCGGGAAGGCGGAGCCGGTTAGCTCACGCGGCGGTGGCGGCAATGAGGCAGTGAAGAGAGGTGGGCACGTGCAGGGTGTGGATCCGGAGGAGTTGAAGAGATTGGGGAATGAGTGTTATAAAAGAGGGAACTTTGCTGATGCGTTGAGTCTTTACGATCGCGCTATTGCGATGTCGCCGGCTAGTGCCGCTTACCGGAGCAACCGCGCGGCGGCGCTGACAGGGCTGGGACGTCTGGGTGAGGCCGTGAGGGAATGCGAGGAGGCTGTGAGATTGGATCCTAATTATGGAAGGGCTCATCAGCGTTTGGCTTCTCTATTCCTCAGGTGCGGATCACTGATCGTGTTCTTTTATTTGCTGTTTGATTTTTGTTGAAGGTGGTACCCGTCAGAGTTTGATGGCATTGGTTGATTTGAGTCTTCTTCCATAGGCTAAAATCAACTTCTGAATCCCAGCTTTTAGAGAAGTTGGCTCATTTGTTGATTTTAACTTGTGGAAGAAGCCCAATTCAATTCGTTGACATTCTTATTCTCTTTTGGTGTTATGGAGGAGTTTGTTCAACAAGATTTTGGTTGCCTTGTTAGGTTAGAGTGTGGAATTATGTTGATGTGAATGTAAAGTGGTAATGTGACAGGTTAGGACAGGTCGAGAATGCTAGGAAGCACCTTTGCTACCCTGGGATGCAGCCAGATCCGTCTGAGATGCAGAGGTTGCAAGTGGTGGAAAAGCATATAAGCAAATGCGGGGATGTGAGGAGGATAGGGGATTGGAAGAGTGTTCTGAGGGAGGTGGATGCTGCTGTTGCTGCTGGAGCGGATTCTTCTCCTCAGGTATGGATAATGTTGTTACTGTTTTCATGGTTTTAGATTGTGATTGTGGTTTCAGTTTTGTCGCGATCCTTGCTGACAAATGTGGCTGATGCAGCCGCCATTGCAGTGGTGAGAATGCGGCTGAAATTACAGTTATTTAAAACCTTGGTTGTTTGTTATCATTGTTATGTTGAAATCTGAGTTGTACCATGTTTTGGAGGAGTGGATGAATGGCTGAACTGGTTGGAAATTGAATTTACAGCTCTTTATGTGTAGAGCAGAAGCGTTTTTGAAGCTCCACCAGATTGATGATGCAGAAACAGTTTTGTCCCATATACCGAAATCAGAGTTGCACATCAGTTCCACTTCTCAGACAAGATTTTTCGGGATGCTTTCTGAGGCGTATTTCTATTTTGTGAGAGCACAGATTGAGATGGCATTGGGAAGGTGAGATCAGACACTAATAGAATAGCCATGATGGGAAATCCTAAGATGGTGAAAGGTTTGTGTTGGAAAGTGAAATCGGATGATGGGTGTATTGCAGGTTCGAGAACGCCGTTACAGCTGCTGAGAAAGCCAGTCAGATTGATCCACGGAGTGTTGAAGTTGCTGTTTCGCTGAACAATGTGAGGATGGTGGCAAGGGCTCGAGTGCGTGGCAATGATCTCTTTAAATCTGAAAGGTACACCGAAGCTTGCTCGGCGTACGGAGAAGGTCTGAGACTGGACCCTTCCAATTCTGTGCTATATTGCAACAGAGCAGCTTGTTGGTTTAAGCTTGGCCACTGGGAAAGATCAATTGAAGACTCCAACCAAGCTTTGCACATCCAACCAAATTACACCAAGGCCCTTCTTCGAAGGGCTGCATCAAACAACAAGGTGAGTTGATTTCTTATTATACAATGTTTTCTTTCCTCGAGTGTCCGTGATATACAATGTTTTCTTGCTATTAAATGCAGCTAGAACGGTGGGAGGAAGCCGTCAAAGATTATGAGGTCTTGAGGAGAGAACTTCCAAACGATAACGAAGTTGCTGAATCTCTTTTCCATGCACAAGTTGCCCTGAAGAAATCACGTGGGGAAGAAGTATATAATCTAAAATTTGGTGGCGAAGTGGAAGAAATATCAGGTCTGGAGCAGTTTAGAGCTGCAATATCTTTACCAGGTAATTCTTAAAGTCTTTTGCAACTCACTTTGGTCATTCTTTAAAGTCTCTCTGATAATATCTGTTAATTTGGCAGGTGTATGTCTTGTCCATTTTGAAGTTGCATCTAACTCGCAATGCAAACAGATATCACCGTTTGTCGATACACTATGCGGTCGATATCCATCCATTAACTTCCTCAAGGTAGCTCACTTTACACATTAAACGAAGTCTCTTTCAGTCTGCAACTGCTGTTTTACTAAATCTAAGGCTCAAAAGAGCAAGAGATGGGAAGTTTCTAATGCATGGAAGTGTGTTTTGTGTGTTTGAATGAAGGTGGACATTGAAGAAAGCCGAGCAGTTGCAACTGCGGAGAACGTTAGAATTGTACCAACCTTCAAGATATACAAAAATGGGAGCCGAGTGAAGGAAATCGTTTGCCCAAGTCGTGAGATGTTGGAACACTCGGTGAGGCATTACAGCTTTTAGAAGTGATGGGCGGTGATGCTTCTCCGTTGTCTTGTTCTGCAGATGTTGTTGTTGTTGTCGTCTCCTCCACCCCTCCTCCACCCCCCATAATACCTGTGACATAGTGAAAACCAGATAATAATCTCTTTAGCAGCAGCCAATGCCATTGGATCCCAGAGATAGTGTAGTCCCTTTTGGAGTTTTTATTTATTCATTCATTCCTCATTGCTCTTTGCTTCGATGTTCCTTCCTCCCAAATGCCCTTTCTCCATTTTCGTTTTCTTCTCTACTCCTTAGGTGGTCAGCCGTTCTTGTACCCCCAGTTTCTTCAAGGCCAAAAGGAAAACAAAAAAAAAAAGAAAAAAGGAAAAAAAAATGTTTTTAAATGTATGTACAATTGATTTAATTATGAGTTTAAAAGTACCTGTTAAGATAGAGAAATATATAGAGAGAGATATAGAATGAAGGGAGGGGAGGGGGCAACTGTACATGTATATATGTGATGATATATATATACAAGAGAGTGGAAGAAGGGTTTGAGGATGAAGATGTCATTATTATTATTATTATTATTATTGTTTTTTTGAATGTTAACGATTTAATGAATAAAAAGTTGGGATTTTTTTGTTTGTGTTACAGTGTGGAAAAGGGGAGTAATGGCATTTAAGATGATGGGGTTTTGTTGGGTATGTTTGAGATGTAAAGGGAAATGTGGTTGATAGCATTGATAAGTGGATGTTGGTAATTTGATTGGGCGGTGGAGGCGTCGGTAATTAAAAAAATGGTGCCTTCAAAAGGAGAAGAATAAATAAATAAAGGAAATGCCGGGTTGGTGGTTAGGGTCACATGTGCCCATTTAAGAACTTCGTTTCTTTCGATAATAAATATCTATCAAAATGAACAATCTCAGATTAATCCTAAGAGGAATCTTCTGTCGGTCATGCCAGCTGTTAAAACCACAGCCATTCACATAGGGTGGGCCTTCACGTGGCCCACACGTGCGCTGTAAAGCTCTAAATAAATAATAAAACCCTCAATTTTTCATTTTCTTTTTTAATTATATAAAAATAAAAAAGAGAATGAGGGTTGGGTTGAGTTGAATTTGAGTGGAGTGGTGAAGGATAGTGTAGGAAACGTACGGTGTACGACAACATAATGAAAAGAGAGAAAGTTATGTCGTTTGGTATATATTTCAAAGGTCGTTTTCTTCTTTTGTTCAGACTTAATCATGTCACGCAACAGGCATTATTGCATTGCATGGATTTCAAAAACTAATTTGTGTTTAACGTTGTTTTCTCTCTACAATGCAAAACTCTTCTTATTTGCTGCTTGCTACCAATAATTGAATTATTGCATGACATGGATTTCAAAAACTAATTTGTGTTTAACTTGTTTTCTCTCCACAATGCAAAACTCTTCTTATTTGCTACTTGCTACCAATAATTGAATGTTTTAATCTTCTTAAGCTGAACAAACTTATATGAATGTTCAAAGCTACAGTACCATTGTAGAAGCGCCTTATTATACAGTAGCAGGTGTAAAAATTCATCTGTTAAAACAAAATCCAATCAAGAGGTCACAAAAGACATACGAAAAAGCTTTTATGAGCACATAAGATATGTAACTCAACAATGATTGGTAATTGAAACTGTTCCAGGATTTCAATTTACAGTTTTTATTAGATCGAATTACTTGATGACTTAAATTAACCTAATTATTAGCTTAGGTTGTATTTTATTTGATTCCTAAATTATTTTTTATAAAAATTGTTATTTTTAATTAATTTAATATTGGAAAATTATAACTTAAAAAGAAGTTAAAAATTGGAGCCAATTCTTTAAACCCACTCAAGAGTGGACTAGGTTTTCTGGGTAGATAGAGTTTAACAAAAACACAACCTGATAACTTTTTAGTGGATTAGCCCAATTAGCAACCATCCTAGTTCAATAGCATCAAATAACATACCTTTTATACAATGTTCTACCCAAATTCTATACCACCCTTTTAACTGTCCAAATCTTAAAACTATGTAAATGAAACAAACATCTAATCATATTTATCATCAAATTTTTGTTTTCTATACCTTACAAATAATAACGGCTGAAAATTTTATTAACTCTTTCTGATCCTCAGAAGAAATAACATCTTTTTAAATGTCACAACTAGAAAATTATAATTGCTTTTATGAAAGAATGTTTATTGCATACTCCAAGTAAAATTTTCAAGTTATCTTATAAGATGCATCAAACAACAAATTTTCTAGGCTAGAGTTTAATTTTTCAAAAATCAAATTCCTAATTGTGATTTTAAAAAATTTAGACTTCAGTTGCAAAGCACAAATATGAACTAAACTTTTCAGGAAAAGAATTAAAAAAAAAAAGTCTTCAAAATTCAGTTTTCCAGGCTAAATTCTGATGAAAAAAAAAGATGTTACCTATATAAATATTTTAATACAGAATGCTATATGAGAAAATTCTATATCCAAGTGAGTGAAAAAAAAAAATCAGAAAATAAGGTTTTCTTAAGTAAATATAAATAATTGTAATTAAATTCTAGACATTCAATAGCTTTTTGTTGTCAAATCCATGAAATTAGCTTATAACCCTTGAAACCCAATTTAAAAATAATTGTAAAATAACAAGAATGCAATTAAAATTCGTTAGTTTTAGGCCTATTTATAAAGACCCAAAAATAATTCAAAATTCCCAACTAATATCATGAGAACAGCTAACACGTACGGCGTCACGGAAAAGGAGAGAAATGAAAAGAAACTTATTCGAAAATTTTGTACTATTAAGTTTGAGGATCCCAAATTACTTGGGAAGAGTTGAGAGATGAAGTTATGTTTAAATTTGTCAGATAAAATATCACATATTTTCATACAGATTCCAAGACAAGCCTTCCAGGTGAAAGAAAGTAATAAACAGGTAACCTGAAGCTATGGGAAATATTAACTCCAAAATAGTTTAATAGATAATTCCAAATTTGCATTTAGATTTGAAAGTTATACAGCATACACTTCTACTATAGTTATTTGAAGCCAAAAGTTCCCACAACCCATCGAGCATTAGGCGCCAATGGCATATAATCGAGTCCATTCCTTGGCTGCACATTTCAATGCCACCGTTTAATAACATCTTCCAGGCAGTCATTAACAACTAACTTCTATGTAATCTTACAAGCAGAAGAAGGATACCTGTTTCCACAGCCTCAGCCTCGTTAGATTTCCAATGCTTCGCAATGTTCTCAGAAAGAGGGTCATCCGGGTTTGGTGCACTTAGAAGAGCTTGAATACTAAAAGAGGGTCAACAAATCACAATATCAGTACTCTTTGCAATCAAAGGGCAAGTTAATACTTTTCACTCGTTTGTAACATAACATTGTCGCCGGCAGGGGCAGATATTCTCCAGAAATAAAAAAATAAGGTCCAGATCGACGGATACATACGAGTTTAGTCTACATCTGCAAACATGTTTCTTAAATCTTTCGTCATTTGGGCTTCTTTTAAAAATGAAAATTTTAAGTGTAATTTAACGTTACAAAACTAAGACTTTTATATGATTAATGTGAAATCTCTAATACATAAATAAAGTGTGGACTTAATATAAAGGGAGAACATCTTTATTTCAAAAAACTAAATCTCGCCTAAAATATCTCTCAATTATGAAATAAAAGCATTTGACATATTCATAAATATGCTATCAGTTGCACCTCCTATAGAAAGTGGCAATCGCTTGGTGACATTTGTAAGACCCTGCGGAGAAAAACAACTTGCCCACCACCAAGAGAATGGAATATTTAGATGATAGTGAATTGTGCATCTATCAGGGAGCCGATGTGAAAGATGTCCTCCCACATTACCAATGGGAGTTGTTCTGCTGAGATTCTGAGGCAGCCCTTCCTAAAAATTTCGGTTGCAAATGACAGTTTTCATGCTGCTTTTATTCTTAAGTATGTTGGTGTCACAACTATGGTGGTTGATGAAAATTTGGATATTAGGCATGGGGATTGTGTCAGGAAGACACCATCGTATTTCAATGGCATTTTGACAATACTGTTAGAAGTGAACTTTAAGCCTAACTCAACCCCACAAAACCGACTTGTAGGTTGAAGTTTGCACCCACTTATATACACTGAATTGACCTTATCTCTAGTCGATGTCGGACTTCCAACACACCCCTCACGCAGAGGTATATATATCGCGAGCGTGGGATTAGACATTTTTAATGAGTGGTCCGATAGCGGCCGATAGCGGGTGAAATAATATTTCCAGCAAACAGCAAATTATCGCTAGGATAGGCTCTAACCATGCTTGAGAATTAAACTGTAAAATAATTCTAGAGGGCTTAATTGATCCCTCTCACAATCTTCTATTTATAAGAATAAATTGATACAAAAGTACATGATAAATAGGGTAACCCTAGACACAATATAATCATGATAAATAAGGTAACCCTTGACACAATATAATCATGATAAAATAGGATAAATATCCAAACACTCCCCTTCAAGCTGAAGCATACAAATTGTATGTACCAAGCTTGGAACAAATAAACTCAATCCGAGGACCCCTTAATGACTTGGTCAATACATCTGCGAGTTGATCGTTTGATCCAATAAATTCAGTGCATATTTCTTTAGTCAACAACTTTTCACGAACAAAATGACAATCAATTTCTATACACAAATTGTATGTACCAAGCTTGGAACAAATAAACTCAATCCGAGGACCCTTTAATGACTTGGTCAATACATCTGCGAGTTGATCGTTTGATCCAATAAATTCAATGCATATTTCTTCAGTCAACAACTTTTCACGAACAAAATGACAATCAATTTCTATATGTTTAGTCCTCTCGTGAAACAATGGATTTGATGCAATATGGAGAGCAGCATGATTGTCGCAATACATCTTCATAGTATGGATGTCACAGAATTTAATCTCTTAAGGGAATTGTTTCACCCATATAAGTTCACATGTTAGTGATGTCATTGTCCTATACTCGGCTTCAGCGGTTGATCGAGCTACTACATTCTGTTTCTTACTTTTCCATGAAATAATGTTTCCTCCCAGAAAAACACAATATCCTGTAGTAGACCGTCTATCAATAGGTGAACCTGTCCAATCTGCATCACAATACCCAGAGACCTGAATGCTTCCTTTATCTTCATATAACAATCCTTGCCCAGGAGCCTTCTTTACATACCTTAGAATGCGAATGAGAGCATTCCAATGGTC